ATAAATGACAGTTGGCTGGTATGATTAGTATTGGCTATTAGTCAGTCTTGTTAATTCCTGCCACGGTCCTCTAATGAGGAGGTGATTATCCCTCACAGTGCCAGCAGCTGTTAGCTTCAGTTTGCTCCTGGTCACTTAAACATTTTCCCCAAGGGATACCGTCAAAGGCTCCAAACTATATCCCTATTAACTATTGGAGATGAATGTTTAGTGCGGCTGGATAGAGAGACAAGGCTGCCTGGTCTATGGTTACTTGTAAGGAGTAGAGGTTGGTAGGGGATGGTAAACTGGCAATATTCAATGGCAACTGCCTGTAGAACTCTTTGAAAGGGTAAATGTCACAAGAACAAATAGTAACATCAGAATTCAAATAATCAGATGGCAGTGGGCTTTTCTCTGGAGTTGGAGCAAATATAGGAGTCCATCCCCGACTTTGGCAGAAGTATAAGACAGTTCTCTTGCTTGGGTTGCTGACCTATATCAGACCTTTAGTCATGACCAAAATCAATTCTCGCTCATGATTATTAGTCATCATTAGTTTTTACATCATCTATTAGTGTTCCAGATATAGACTTATTGGCAATTCTAGATATACACTTTCCAGAAGCAGAACAAATGGCAAACAGCTGCTTTTATATATATATTTTATATATATATTTCACCATTCTTATGCTTTCTCCTTTCAGGTGTAGTTCCCTTGAAATTCCCATCACCAACACACCCATGTCCCATTATAATAGTCCCTTGTGCGCTTGCACCCCTGGGCAAACAGCTGTTTATGTCAGGTTAAGGCATACTGCTTCTGAAGCTCTAGACAGCCACTGAGAAAAACATATTAGTCAGGTTTTTAATGCATATAATTTTCTAGCAGAGGTGATTACTTCAGCAGCACGCTAAGAACTGCCTTAAGAAAAGATCTTTTTAGCGGGTCCTCCCTGGTGGCGCAGTAGGTTAAAACACAGCACTAAGAAGCTAAAGGCACTTCAGCATGAGTTCGATCCCTGCCTGCCTGGGAGGTGATCAAATGGTGCTGCAGACCTCTCCTGACCTGCCCGCTGCTTCCCTCCACAGTGTACTTCGTCATGGCTCCCCGCTCTGTCTCTGGTGAATCCTCTCACTGCACCTGCACCTGTGGCCTATACCCCAGTTCTGTATGAATAAATAAATAAATGTAATTACGTTTTTAAAAATATATCCTTTAAATAATAAAAAAAAGATCTCTTTAGCACTTTACATCTTATAATATAATTGACCTCAAATTCTAGAATTCCTTAAATATAATCACCTGGCCAGTTTGAGCTGAGGGACTGGAATTTTCATTTTCAGTGGATCCTCCTACTGTTTTGGCCCACATGTTGAGAAACTATGGTCTTCTGTCTGATTCCTCATCACAGCCCAGGGGTGTAAGCTAGCTGCAGACCTTTCAGAGAGCTGGAAGGCCATTCAAATTGTTGCTTTCTTCAAACAACATCCTCTGATTTTCAGGCAGTTTTTCTCATTTTTTTCAGACCCCTTATATTTAAGAAACCTTTCTTCCACATGAAATCTTTTTCAGAAAACCAACCTATCTGCAGATAAAATAAAAAATCTAGTCTGTTAAAAATTTACCCTGGGGACAGAGCTTACAGTTCCTCCAGGCCTGGAGGACCCTAGACACCTCATCCCTATCTCACAGAGCCCTAAATGGCAGAATGCCAGACCTCCAGGACCCATCCATATGCACGAGGCTGACTGACTGTCCCTACCTTGTGGGCTGGACATTGTCATATCCTGTTATATTGGTGGATCAGTAAGTAAATGTTAGATTAGTGATTGTGCGTCTTTTGGGGACATCAGTAGTTTCTACTTTGGAGGGTCCAATGAAGTCTACATATAAAAACTTTAAACTTCTTTTCATCAGCCCCTATGCTCTTAGTTCCATTCCTGTATTACATGCTTAAAATTCCATGTAGTTATAGAAAGTCTCTGGCAAACTCAAAATTTGGAACTACTGAAGAATTGAACTGTTTTTTCAGCTCCAAGAAATAAATGGAAGAAACTAGATGTTAAAAATATTTTGTTTCACTAAGAGCTGCCTTAAATTCATTAGGAAGTAGTTGGGATATAGATAATCGTAAATAAAGTTATGAATGATTTCCAACTGATTGATCAGGAAAAGGTTGAGAAAGTTGCCATTATGGCCAAGAATGATGCCTCCTTACCATGGGAGGAAAAAATAGTTTTAACAGGAGAGTTTTAGGTTGTTACATAGTTGGTTGGTTATTTTCCTTTATTCCTCTTTTATTGTGAATAAAGAAAAAAGAGTTCTGAAAGAAAGAAGACTGAGAAAGCAAACTTAGACAAGGCATTCCCTAAATTTTGCTCTTTGTGGCTGGTACAAAATGTGGTTATGTGAAGGTTAAGCTGTAAGGAGCTATTTGAGGCCAGGCACCTTCAGTGCCAAATTGAGTGATTTGTAATCAGTGAAGGATTAAGTGATAAATTGTAAAATATATCTTAGACTTTTGGTTTTTCAACACATCCTTTTGGAAAAGACTTCTTTCTCACTTGATACAGTTGTATAGATTTGGTTTATTTTAAAAATTCAATATATTTTATACTTTGCTCAGGCAACATTTCTGTAGCTATTGGCATACTGAAGTGACATGGTACCTAAAGTTGCAGATCAGGATTTGTTTGGGGGAGTTGCTTTAAAGGTTTGCAAATCTCTACAGTGCATCAAATTTGTGTGAATGAACATCTGACCTTACTACCTGATGGTTGTTTTTGTGGTGGGTAAGTAAGTGGGTGTGTAGCCTCCATATTCCCTAAGCACTTGATTTACCTCTGTTGAGTTTGAAGAGAAGGACCCAGTAATTCCACATTCTGACAAAGAAAAAACTATAGAAAGGCCAGGAATCAAGATTTAGAGATTAAGCAAATTTCCCTTTATAAAGCAGACACTGGAGTATGGCTTATATCTGTGCACTGCCTTAGAATCAGACAGGCCTTCTAGTGCCAGGTGGTACAGGACACCCCCAGTTCCCTCTGTGGACAGTGCCCCGGTGATCTCAGCATGACCTTTTTTGCATATGCATTGGCCAAAAGAAATGTCTAACAGTTAAGTCCAAACAATATAGTGTTAGCTGGGTTTCTGACAAGTGTTGCTGTGTTTCTCCTGAAAATATCCCACAAATTCTCTGAGTTTTCTGGTTATCCTAGGGCACTGAGATGTATAGTTAGAAAATGTAGTCTCCTTCAGATCTCAACAATCAAGTTGTTGCTCCTTATTCTCTCGAAAATGTCAGATGAATGAGGGAGTAAGAGAAAGTCATGACCATTACCCTAATGGAGCTTCCTTTACATGGATAAGTGTTTTAGGAAAAAAATATTCCTGTATTTTAAATACTCATGTCTCTCCATATCACCAAAGTATCTAGGTTTCAGTTGTGAGTTATCCAGAGCTAATATGACTTCCTAACCTAGTAGACTTGGACATGTGTATTTATTATGTATTTAGAAGTCATACCTTCCAATGTTCTGATTCCCATGTACATTTTTGGATGGGAAGTGGCAAGTGAATAGCCAGGGCCATAGGCAAAATATATTTCTTATGCACTGAGGTAAAATATTATGAAGACTGTGAAAATAAGCTTACTTTCATTTGACTAAATTCAGTGTAAGCCATTCGTTCTACAGAACTCTGAGCATACAATTTTTCTCTTTGCCTATTGGTCTTCATAGAAGCATAGTCCACAATGATAAAAATGAATAGCTGAGCTTTATATGTATACTCCAAGCCCAACAATGAAACGGCCACTCTTTTATAATGCCAAATGTCTGTAATAATGAAAAGTAATTCATGGTGGATTTCTGGTCATAAACAACTAGATATTTCCTGTGTGTGCACCTCTCATTTAAACCACAGAATCATGCCCAGTCTGCATTTACAGCTTGATTGGTCAAGTGTGCAATTCAATCAATTAGATTGGCCTCATCAGGAAAATACCAGTGTTAGCAAAACATAAATTGCTAAATGTGCCAAAAAATTACCAAAGTACTCAACGATTTAATTTCTTTGTATTAAAGTTTTATTATATCTTACTCAACACATGCAAACTTTATCTGTGAAAACGTCTATTTCATTATACCTGTATTCCCTCTCCACCAACCCCTCATAAAAGCATTGTCCAGAATTAACTATTGGGGAGTTTGCTCTGAATTATTCCTCAGAAGGAGTCATTATTGAGTGGAAGATCTGACAGGTAATAATGTCATGGGAGCTACCATGATGGCCTGTGGAGGAAGGTGGGGCTAGTCGCTGAATGACACATATCGGCAGAAACATGCCTTCTGGGGAAGAAGCAAGACCCATGCCTCCAGCTTCACCAGCTATGCTGTAGGCATGCCCTACTTTCCATTACCCTGCTGCTCACTCTCACTCTGCTCTACCTCCACCTCAGTTCCCCAACTCTGGATGTCCCCAATTCTTATTCTCCTATTCAGTTTCACTCTTTCAGTGATCCTAACAACTTAAACAAGCCTCTTCAGAGGCTCAGTTTCCTTGTCATTAAAAGGGGGGTAATTAATAATCTCTGACTACTTTATGGAGTGATTATGAGCATCGAGTGAGATATATATTGAAACTTTCCGTTCACTGCAAAATTCTATACCAATGTCAGGTGTTACAAATCATTAGCCTGTCTACCCCTCAACTATGGAAGTTTATACCTGTATCTTTCTTACTCTCAGAACAATTCTTTGTCAGATAGCACATGTAAAAGCTGCTGTTTTTTCCTATTTGGATTATGGTGGTTCCTTTGCAACTTTATGATGTAGGCTGAATCTTTAAGTACTCCTTTGGCTCATATCTCTTCCTCTGAACACCCATGCAAGATCATAATCCATAAAACATGGAGGCTATAACTCCTTTTAATTGCCAGGAGTTCATCATTTGCTAAATTCTCAATGCAGTCACTTAAACACCCGCCTTGAAAAGCCTGCCTCTATTTATTCTGCAGAGCCGAGACTGTGTGAAGCTGGGCCCTCCTGCTGAGGGAGAAGTTGTCCAAGTCAAGTGGCCTGATGGGAAACTCTATGGAGCAAAATATCTTGGGTTGAATGTCGCTCATATGTACCAGGTGAGTGTTGCTCACGTGCACTTGCTGAGGGGTACAGGAACAGCCGAGGGGCAGACAGTATATCCAGTAGATCCACTGTGCTGCTGATCCATCAACCACATGAAAGGGGCAATTCTTACTTAGAAAGGAGGCACAGATTCACTGCCTCATAACCTAGATATTGGCATTTTATTACCAAGTTTGAACTGATATATTGTAATAAATTTTGATGAATGGTTTAATTTTAAGGCACATTATAAAACTAAAAAGAGAAGCAACTAGATAGTAAGTTGCTTTCCTGTGCTTTCATTATATATTGAGATGCCACCTTAGGCCAATACAGTGATAGTTGTTTTCAATCAGCAACCTCTAATTTGGTGAATTTCCCTGAGAGACACAAACCCCATCAGGCATCTCACAAACTTAAACCAAAGGTGCATTAGCACAGATGTAGGCAGCTATCCACCCTTAAAGGAAAGTCAAGTTATCAGTTGGATAGTCCATTCACTAGAAAACTCTACATATTTTTAAAGAATATGCCAGCATACTATTGAAAATGAGAACAAGTGAATTTCTAGGAGGTAGAACAACATGGGTGTGGCACATTATATTTCTTCAGACTTTAAAAAGGGACACATTTATTATAACCAATGCCTTGAAGTTCTTTGGTGACACAATATCAGAAATCAACATACTCAGGCTAGCAGTGGATTGAAAATAGGGAGATTGATGTATAAAGAGAAAAAGCCAGAAGGTCCAGACCTGTTAAGTTAAAAACAGCTTGAGAATGATAAGACTGCCACTTTCAGCAAAGAAATTGTTCAAAGACTGATAAGGGGCAAAGACTTAAATGGAAGAGTACATTATAAGATACCACATCAGGAACTTGATCACAGTGTAATTAAAAGTACTCAAAGCAGTTTGGAAGAATATTTTTCATGATCTAAAAGAATTCATGGTGACAAGGAGAGAAGAAAATGTTTACATACAACACTCACTGTGTGTTATATACACATTCACTATGTGTGTGTGTGAGTGGTGTGGTCTGGTCATTTCCTTTTTTGTGTCTGTGACAATGTTAAGTGACATATTCAGGTAATTTATGACAATAGGTGCAGGAGCTTCTTTGTAGCACAATGTTCATAGTTTAGCAAAAATCATAAGACAGCCTAGACTCAGAAAACATTACTTTTTCTCAAAACAAGTAATTATATTTAAGCAGTAAATGCAAAAGTGAAGCTTCTTGCTTGTGGTAAAATGTGTGCTACATGAAAAGTGTGATGAGAACATGTTGAAATTCAGGCTAACTAGTAATCACCTTCAGTTGAATTTATGATGGCCTATCAGAATAGTACTATGAGCGTATTTATAGACTCAATGAAAAGTTAAGGCCAATATTAAAGTTGTCTCTCAAACACAAGTAGTCTTTGAGATAATTTTGTATATTACATCTAATTACTCAGCAACGAGCAAAGATATTTATAATATATACACACACAAACATATACATATAACTTAAAACCTATCACATGATGCCTGCCCAACATATGTGTATTTTGACCCTCATAGTAGTCCTGCAAGATAGGTGTTTTTGTTTCTAATGTACCAATGAAAAAGCCTCAATAAATTCAATAATTTGCTCAAGAACAGGCATCTGGTGTAGGAAGGGTCAGAATTTACTCTCAGCATTGCCTCTAGTACTGAAAGCCCTGCATTTTGGCTGACCCCTAGTCTAGGGTATATTGGGATGGTTAGTCCCATGCCATAGTACTGTTTGGTTTTATAATTACCTTTTTCTCTTTTAGCATTTCCAATTGATCCAAAACAGAAAGAAGGTAGACAGAGTTCTAGCTATGATATCAAGTTATATAAATGGGATAACACCTTGGCCTAATTAAATATAGAGCAATTGTTCTGCTAGACCAAGACTAAGAACAAAGGCCTCCTATCCTACCCTTTTGGGAAGTAACAGAGAGAGTTCTGTGACTGAGACCTGTTTTTTCCCTATTGTTTCCACATAGTCAGATGTCAGCAACTCCTGGGTAGATAATAAAAGATTTAACTGTATTTTATCTTTAATATTTTGAAAAGCCTACAACAGATTTTTTTTTTTTTGCTAGTACAGCTGCATAGTTCAACTTAACCTTTTAAAAATGCTAGCATATTTTTATTTCTTTTAAGTATTCAAACAGGTTAGGAACTTCAAAAATATCATTGAATGGTATAATGTTAAATCATATTAGATAGTCTCCCTTTTGTTGTTTTCTCCTAGTAGACTTCATGTGAGATTAGACTTACTCCCAAGTACAATCACAATGAATATTAGGGCTTTTGATTAATTTCCTCAATGCTTTAGCTTTCTGTCAGCCAGTGCTGACATTTAGCCTTTGTCTGGAAGAATCTCCTGTAATGTTGGGGGAAAAACTGATTATGAAATAGTATTCATCCATTAGATTAACTTGAAAAAAAATTAAACATTCAAGTTTTAAATACCATATTTTTATACAATTAAAACCTGGTATTTTCCTGGGCCATTTTAATGAATTTGACAAAAAGTGAGTTTTGAAAGTAAAAATCTCTCTAAATCCTTGAGAAATCATTTTATCTGGAAGATTATTATATGAGTAAATTTATCATCATTTCTTTTTGAAAGAAAAAATTCTTGAAGTCATCAGTGTCTCTTAAAGAAAGACATGGTACTGATTAGCCTAGCCCCATCTTAACGCTTAATTGCCACTGTCACCAGTCCTAAGAAATCATTTGAACAGCAGTGACTTTCTTTGTTTTTACTTTGGGAGAATAACATTTTCATATCGATTTGCAAGGCACCCATTCTTGAGAATTTTGGCCTATTTAAAAATATTGTTCTGAGTTAATGGAAAAAACTTTTCTTCCTTCTTTAGCTCTTGGCTATTTTCCTTGTTCTGCTTGAGTCTCTTTTTCTGGTTTTATGTTTGTTTTTGTTTTTTTAGGCAGTTAATTGGAAAGTCAGTGCTTGTTTACTTTTTAATGTGTGCCACAATGCCATATTTTTAATTAGGTTGAATTTGAAGATGGATCTCAGATAGCAATGAAGAGAGAAGACATCTACACTTTAGATGAAGAGTTACCCAAAAGAGTGAAAGCCCGTTTTGTAAGTACTGTCAGATGCCACTCCCTATTCCCCAAGAGCAGCAAGAAATATTCTTGGGCCAATGGATTCATTTTAGAGACTACCAATACAAGTTTTCCTTTATTGAAACCTATTTGGTACAAATTTCAAGTTTGACCCAAAACAGAAGCCAATAATATTCCTTATTTTTCTTTCTCATAATATCAAATTATGTTTCTGTGTATTAACATTTATTGTCATACAGAACTACTTGTTGAATGTGTATTCTCTGAAGGTTGTAGGAGCATACAAAGATACTATCAGACCCTTTATAATCTTGTTAGTAGAAGTAACAATAAAAGAAAGCATCCAGTAGTAAATTAAAGAGAACTCAGCATAAGTGAATGACTAGTTTTGTATAGCCTTCTATGTTGATTAGTTTCAGAAGCTCATTAATATTTGCGTCAATTTATAATTAAATTGTACTCTTTATTTTCATAACACAAGGAATAAATAATGCCTGATACTAGTTAAGGGAATGCTAAAGCAGTGTTTTATAAAGAAAATATTAGTTTCAAGTCTTGTACATACCATTAAAAGACAAATAAACATGTACAAATATCAAAATTGAAGTTGTTAAAAAATATAATTTGGAATAACTTAGTTTTCATTATTATATCATAAAATACTTAGTGGACCCTGAAATGAGTTCAGTTTCACTCATTTAGAATTACATCTACTGTATTTGTGAGGTTATAAATCCTGAAAAAGAAAGTTGGTTGAGTGAAGGGGATTTTTCCAATTAAAATGAAAATTTTCTTTCTGAATAAATGACGCTCTTAGTTCTTACTGTTTGCTTATGATATACTTTTCTGCAGCGATAGAGTTGTGAAAACCATTGTTTTCCTTAAATGCTCACTTGTATATTGAGCTCCTTTTCTATCATGTGGAATCCTGGAGCAGGGTAAGTGCTTCATGTGGGAGCTACTTTCCTTCTCATCAACATCCTTGAGAGAGGAAGGTCCTACAAAGTGAAATAAAAGTAATAGTAATTGAGTAACTGTACTGCTGACTACCAAGAAATCTGGCACATATGGGACCTATACACTAAAAGCAGTTAACCTCCAGATAGATAATAAGCTGCAGGGAAAAAGAAAATCAAATATACCTGTTATAAAGACATCAACTAAACCTTTATAAAAACCTAACATATTATTGTTCTAGTTCTTGAAATTTTTTGAGAGCAACTTCCTTTATTGGTAGACATAGTTGCTTTTCCTTCATTATACCAGTATTTATAGATTCACCTTCCTGTCATCCCATTCTCCCCATGCCTTTTTTTTTTTTTTTTTAAAGATTTATTTATTTGTGCATACAGAACTGGGGTACAGGCCAGAGGCTCAGGGGCGGTGAGAGGCTTCACCAGAGACAGAGTGGGGAGCAGAACAGGCAGATCTATGAAGTACACTGCTGAGGGGAGCAGCGGGTGGGTCAGGAGAGGTCTGCAGCGCCATGTGGTCACCTCCGGGGAAGGCGGGAATCAAACTCCTGCGGAAGTGGCTTCACATTCTCAGTGCTGTGCTTTAACCCGCTGCGCCACCAGGGAGGGCCCCGCCTTTTTTTTTTTTTTAATAGCCTAGAGACCTGGAGAATGGGGAAATGGAGTAGTCAGACTTTGAACAGCTTAGTTCTTTGACTTTCTGATCCATGTGTGGTTAAGCATCCAACTAGCTTGGTCTTGTAGATTTTAAATATGAATTCTTGATCTTCTTGATCACACTAAAAGAAAGCTTTCTGCTCTGATCATAATTTCTTTTTTCCACAGAATATTTGACACAGTAGCAGGATACCCTCCCAGGTGACTTCATTGGCACACAACTCTTGAGCTTTCTTAGGTCCATTTTCCCGAGCAGGCACACCAACATTCAACCTTTTATTTTTTTTTAATTCTCAGAGAAGACAATTTAATTAAAAGATAATGAAAAATAAATCATATACATATATTCTGAATGAATGTAACCTGCTATGTCAAACAGTTGAGCTTAGTAGAAAATTTTTCAGAAACAAAGCTCTAGTCACTAAATCCAGTTTACCATCTTTATTTTTATTGAATCAAAGACTTATGTGCTTTCACTGTAGCAAATCAGCTTTCCTTCAGGTTAGTATATAACCCTCTGGTCTTTGGCTAGTCTGCCTGTAACTGCTATTTTTTTTTTCCAGTTGATGAAACAAATCTAATTGGAAAACTCATTGATGGGAGATATTTTATGATTAGAGAGCTGTCTTTTGTTGTTGTTGTTTTTTAAGGAGGGCTGGGTTAGCAGCCCCCACTAGGAGGTCTTCATGTTTTAATGACTTCTGCTCACCCAAACACACGCTGACTTGAGGACAAATTTTTCAAAAGAGTCAGCAGTCCACCTCAGTGATTATATTGGGTTCTTTGCCACTAACTTCAGAAACAGCCCCATTACCTTTTATTGTCTCACAGAATAACCATAGCAACAGTGCATAATTAACTAGAGCTGCTGGTAAATCGGTTTTATTATTGTATTTGAGAGGCTGACTTTTGCTGTTCTCACGCAGTGGTACGCTTTCATAGATGTTTTTATTTTCTCCTTTGATAATTTTAGCAGTTATAAAGAGGAAAGATTGCTTAGAGGGAGCAATTCACCAAGAATGAAAGGAACAAAACTGTGTTCTCCTGATGAAGGAGGGTGCTGGACCAACCCACAGTCTCTTAGAGTTTTCTACCCACTTCTACTAACCAAGAGTCTGGGGCTGGGGAGACCCCTGGAGGTAGCCTTTACCCTAGAAGAACTGGCAAGAAATTTACCCAAACTTGCCCAGCTTTTTATTCTACTTTTTGTCTGTTCTTTACTAAGGACTGACTTTGTATTTACAAACCCTAAAAAGTGCAGTGCTGCTATCACTAACAAGGCATAGTCATTTCACTGTTACAGTGAGTCAGTGCAAGTGGTCCACTTGAGTAGAACTTCAGCTGGGAATTCATTCTAGTAGACAACATAGTAAGGAATTAGGAAGCATAAATAAGCATAAATAATGCTTTAATATGGATTTTACCTGAGTATCACTGAAAAAAAAATAATACTTTATCAAAATAATACTTAGCAATAACTGAACTGGGCATATTGCTTGATGTTGAGAATCCACATAAAAGTTGATACAAAGGCCCTGGTGTTCTTCCCCTCAAGTGATTCAAGGAATGCACGATAGGAAAAACTTATCTGCCCTTTATCACTTCACTGTCTCCCATTCTACTGCTTTGATTTATTGTAGGAACCTAAAAATAGGGTGCTCAAGTTTGCCTGTGGTAGAGAAGATAGAATACCTTCCATGCAAAGGATCAGTGCATCTAGAGACAAAGGCAGGAGCCAGGAAAATGTGACTGGGGACAGCTCTAATTCAGTCTGACCCCAGAGCATGAGGTAGCATTATGTCAGGTCACATAGGTAGAGCCTTAGAGAGCTTAAATGTCATGGAGAAGGCAATAGGGCTGTTAAAAGATTATAAGCAAGAGTGTCATATGGTCAGTAAGTTCTTAAATAGCTTTCTGTGTGCTGGTTCTGTAGAAAATAGACTGAAGATACATTTGTTACAATAGTTTAAGAGAGGAAATATGAGGATCTGCACCAGGGAGACAGTTAAGATAAAGAAAGACTTTGAGGTATGTGTAGGAGGGGTCCTGTATAGGATGAGGATAAGAGAAGTTTATAATGACTTTTCAGTTTTGACCAATGTAATTGTATAGATGGTGATGGGGTGCCATTTATGGAATATAAGGAGGACAGGGATGGAGAAGAAGATTGACTTCAATTCAGGGCATGTTGGTATGAGGTGCCTTTGGGATTAAAAATTCTAAGATACTTGCAGAAGTTGAACACAACTTCTGAGCACAGGAAGAGATCTGAATTTGAGTGAGACGTGAGCATTTTTGGAACTGAACCATGACTGTGGGCCTAAAGGCCAAGAAAGCTTATGTCTCAAATGCAAAACCCCAGGGGCTTTAGAGTTGAGCAGATAGTTAAGAAAGAGTACCCTTGAGCCATTAACATGTAGCAACAAGAGATGGGAGAAAGTGCTTAAAAAACACTATAAGAGAAGAGAGTTTCTGTAGCAGTGTGGTCCCTAGGAAAAGGGGACGTTCCAGGTTCCCTGCCCCACCCAGAAGTAGGGTGGAGCTGAGAAGAAAAAATAAAAGAGAGAGAGAGAGAAGATATCTGAGGAGGAAGGAAGGAGGATGGAGAGCCAGAAGGAGACTTGAGGAAGCCACATGGAGCAGGGAGATTGTGAAGAAACCGTGCTTGTTTCTTGGCGTTAGACTGGTTGAAAGTGATGTGGGTGAGAGACCCTTGGGGAGGTTGAGTATGGCCGTGTTTATCTTGATTTTGATTGTGCTCTTTTCCTCCCAGACTTCTCTGGCCATTTCTGACCCTTTTCAATGGGTCCCAGACAGAAGGTGCTTTAGGCTTGTGGTGGGCTTTCAGACCTTGCTTTGGACTAATCCCTTTTGGGTTGACTTTTGCCCATGAGCGGATGGGTAACTTCAGGTGTTTGATTTAGAAATTATATTCTTTGTCTTAATGTATTGTATACTCACTCTATTAAAGTCTCTTTTCATTAAAGTCTTCTATGTTTTGTCTTGATGCAGCAGATGGCAGAACCCATTTAGAACAGGCAGGTATGGGGGTTCAGTGGTACCCACCTCCTTGCCCTGTAACACTTCTACTGCTATCAGAAGTTAGGTGACAGAATAGCCAAATAAATTTAGGGCAGAAAAGTGTCATAGGAATTTGCCACTAGGACATGAACAAGGACAATTTCAGGAAAGCAGTGAAGGGAGGATTCAAAAGTTAAATAGGAAGGGGAGTAAATTAGAGATGTTAAAAAAATTCATCAGAAGCCTGGATGGGCAGGGGCCAGGGGTAGATATAGAATAAGGCAGATTAAATGAGGAGATTTTGTTCCTGTTTTTGTTGGGAAAAGTCATAGGGGAGTTGGGTAGGTTGGAGAGTCTGAAGCAAGGGGCTTCAAGGGGGAAAGAGGCTGGAATAGGCATGTGCCTCCAAAGGTTTTACCCTTCACCAGCCTTCTACACTAGGCTGGTGGTCCATACTTCTGTACTCTGAGAACAGCTGGTTGATTTAGATCACTTTCAATTCTTGTGATGGCCGGGTATCATGCCCTTCTGTAAAGTAACACTAACTGCTTTTAGTCCACAGCCTCTGATATGCGATTTGAAGATACATTTTATGGAGCAGACATAATCCAAGGGGAGAAGAAGAGACAAAGAGTGCTGAGTTCCAGATTTAAGAATGAATATGTGGATGACCCAGTATACCGTACTTTTTTGAAGAGCTCTTTCCAGAAGAAGTGTCAGAAAAGACAATAGCCCACCCTGCTGCAGACTAAGCAGATGTGGTCCAAAGAAGATAATTGAAGGGATGGTCCTGGGACTGTGCCGTGTGTTTCACTTGGGTAGGTGATGAGGTGTGTCTCTGACAGTGGAAAATTAGGCTTTTCAGAGTTTGGTTACCAAAACCATAAAGTACACACATTACCAATTGGATACAATTCCAAATCATCCTTAAGTCTTGCTTTCATTTGTTAGCAGTTGTCCTTTATGATCCCAAAGAATTTTTCTAAGTGAAAGGAAATAATAGTGAATCACCCACTAAGAAATGTCACTGCTGACAGGAGGTGGCTCCCAATGTATGGCTTAGACCCCTTGTCAAGAAACACATGGACACTTCTCACTCAGACTGCAGCAGGAGGGAGCCTTGATATCCAGGGCCAGAGGGTAGGGCTGATAATTTATATATTTTCCACAGTCAGGGAGTACTCTCGCTTATTTGTTTCAAATGGCAGTTTTTATAAAACATTTTTTAAGCCACAAATGGTATGTATGGTAATGAGATTTGCCCGCGTGCTATCTATATTTCCCTTGTACAGACTTTTACATTTTTTTATATCCCTATTACTTTTGATTGCATCTGATGAGAAATGACTTGTTGGCCTTTGTGAAATTTTTGGCTCTTGAGAAAGAATTCTTATGAATTGTATGGAAATTTTATATATTTAAGGAGGGAGATCTGGGGCTATTATTTTTAAACACTTTTTTTCATAATACATATTCAGTGTAGATATTTATAAAATGTTTCTTTCATTATGTGTTTGTAAAATTAAAGTTTAAATAAATATGCTCTGATGCATAATTTTGAATTAATATGATTTTGTTTCCTTTTTAAAATGGCCTGATAAAAATGTACTAGTGTTTAAAAATAAAGATTTCCATTTTCTCCAATTCTTTCTTGTTTGTTTTCTGGGTTTAAACTGATAGGAAAACAAGTTTTGTTTGAAAGCTGGCTATCAAGGTATATTAGAGTCCAAGATTTTTCACATCCTACTTCCATCACTGTATTTTTAATTGAACTGTAGACATGGAGACACATTGCCAGGCATAAGTAGCAACATTATTGGGATAAGTTTCCTCAACTGCCACAGGCCCAGTCTAAGTGTTTCCTTGGCTCCTTCTTAGGCCTGGAGGAAATCTGAGCACCTGGAGTCTAGAGCTCTGGGCGTCAGTTGTCACTTGAAGGAGCTAAGTGGGTCTTATGTTTAGATAAGCTGTGCAGGACAGGCAGGGAAGAGACTTGTCCTGAGTTCCCACAGTCTTTGTTAGGCATCAGTTAGCACTGGTCACAGTTATGCCACCTAACTTATAACTGCAAAATCTCAATGGTCTGTTGCAAGAAATACTTAACGCTTATGAATCTGCAGGTTGGCTGACACTGACTGCATGTGGCTTGGCAGCAGAGCTATCTGCCACACATGTCTCCGATCATCCCACCAGGTTCAGTGGGTTGAGCCAGGTATGTCCTTCCTTGTCAATGGCAGAAGCAAGAAAGCAAGCAAGCCCAGTCCATAAGCTTATTTCAGTCGTTTCTGTGTTAACATCCTTTGGGTCAAAGCCCAGGGCTGGGAGTTGGAGGGCATTTCAAAGTTTCATGCAAAAAGTGCAAATGTTTTGTGTTACTAGGTGAGGAGTTAAGAACTAAAATAGTGATGACAGAGGTACAGTTAAAACTCAGTTATGCAGACCACTGGCTCATTTTCCAGGGTGTCTCATTTTCCAGAGTGTCTCATGGCTGAACTCTGAGCTGGGGAAGAGCCCATCAGCCTTATTTTTATAGGGAGTGAGCATTCTTCATTCTCTACCAGAATAGTCATATATTTAATCAAGTAATCAAGCTTGCATTTTCTGTCTCCAGGTTTTGAATGGAACCGACCTGTTGTCTCCACAATATGCTGGAGAAGTAGGCCTGTGCAAAGCATTAAGAGGAATTAATCTAAATAGGATCATTCGTTCTATACAAGTTTGCCTGTCAGCAAGATTTCTGATTGGCTGCCACAGGGAGAAAATGTGCAGAGTCCTATGTGATCTCAAATACAGCTGTTTTTTTATGGTCTCACTTAACTAATGTTCCTATAACCAAGTACAGCTGTCTATGGCCTCTGTAAAATCATGCTGGCCACAAATGCACTCTGGCTATTGAGAAACACACCTTTGTTTCACTGCAGTCTACATAAAGTCATTATTAGCTCTTTGACTAGACACTTCAATTGTAATTTTAATTTCTTTATGTTACACTAAGTGTGTTTTTAGTATGTATGTGTAGCATGAAATCAGTTGAAGTCTTTCTAGTATTTAAAAAAAGTCTAGCTGTGACAATTCTGATGTAATTATAATTACAAACCCTGTAAGCCCTTTCTCTGGAGGTTAGAAAATTTAGTGAAAACTCTGTTTCACAACAGTTTGGTTCCCTTATATATTTTTGAAATGAAAACAATGTGATCCTTGTCAGTTTACTTTTACTAAGATACTTTTGTTTAGTTCTGCCAGAGAGAAACCGAGAAGAAATAGCCATTTAGTGACACTAAAATGTCACATGGCTTTTCAGAATACATTATAAATTACAGGGTAATAGTGTATGAAAAACTGAGAAAATAAAAATCATGTAAGAATGAATGTACCTTTTTTCCTGTATCTACTCAATATGAAACAGGACAGAAATGCATGTTACTGTAAATGACCTGGAGTTTTATGAGTAATCATATTGGAGGAGTATATGCTGTTAAGATAGCACTGGGATTTATTTTTACCATTAAGTAAAAGAGATCTGAAATAAAACAATCTCCATTTCAAATGTTAACCCGCCCTATAAACAAAACTAACCAGAGATCCTAAGGATTCTCATTACATGAAGTAATTGGTTGGTTGCAAGATTTGATTGTACTAGACACTTTCTGAGAATTCAGATATGCAGTCATTGAAAATATTATAGTCTCTGGCCTAGGAAGTGCTAACTAGTGGGGAGAACAATTTCTTAGTTCTAGGATACCTGAACTCTGTTCAGCAAGTGGACTGATAACAAAGAAATCCCGTGCTTCATCTTCAGAAATTGCTGGTCACCTTTAAATGGAACTTCATCAGGAGCAGCTGATATTAGTGATTATTAAGCATCTATCATGTCTGTTTAGTCTAGTATGGTTCTTGGTGGCTTTTAGCTTATTGAACTTCCCCAGAAATCATCAAAGTATTAATTTCTCACTTCATGGAGAGAAAACAGCACAGACATGTTAAATAATGCTTAAGTCATTCAATCATTTCAATGAAGGAAATAAAAGGAGGGCCCTCAATTGACTAAAATAAATGACAATGAATAGATAAAACTGAAGCTCCAAAGACAGGTTAACATTTGAGAATGAGGATGGCAGCACCTTTATTGGCAGGTATTTTAAAAAACATGAAATTTACCTTCTGACCGAGGCTAAACAATAGGGACAGAAAAGTTAGTGGTTGCTGTTGACTAAAAGTTAAGAGAGCAGGTGGACAACAGGGAGTGTGAAAGAACTTTTGGGAGGTAATGGAAATAATATTTTATTTGGATTATGTTGATGATAATGACTTACATGATGTCAAAATCTGTAGAACTGAATGCTGAAATATGTGAATTTTACTAAGTGTAAATACCACCTCAGTAAGTTTGACTTAAAAATAAACTCTGGGCGCCTCCCTGGCGACACAAGGGGTTAAGTCTCAGCACTAGGCATACCACTGCAGCATGAGTTTGATTCCCAGTTAGGGAGGTGACCCACATGGAGCAGCAGACCTCTCCTGTATCAACCATTGCTCCCTTCAGCAGTGTATTCAGTCATTCTGCCTGTTCTGCTCCCCACTCTGTCTCCACTCACTTTTCCCCTTAAGGGATTTCAAGGACATCAATGTTGGGTCTTTCATTGTTGTTCTACAGGTCCCTGGTGAGCTCTTAGGAATACTTTCTTTCTATTCAGATTAAATAAATTCTGTCCTTAAGTTCTCTGAGTCTGTCCTGTCACCTCCAGACTATTATTGAGTTTACTGAGTGCATTGTCAGGTGGGGGTGGGGGGTAATTATTGTATTTTTATTTTTGTGATTACGATTTAATTCTTTTAAAAATATATTCCTTTGCTGAAAACGTATATTTTTTCATGTTTCAGGAGTGTCCACAATTGTTCATCAAAGTTTTTTCTGAAGGCTACTTTAAAATTTTTACTTTGTCAGATAATCCCAACATCTAATTCATGTTATTATAGTTGTCTATTAGTTGATTGTCCTTTCTCATTAAAGTTATGATTTTTCCTGGTTCTTGGCATGACAGATGATTCATTTGTGACCTGGATGTTTTTGATTTTAGAAGACTGATTCTATTTAAATATTCGTTTTTAGCGGGTAGTTGCCTTGGTTAGGTTAAGTGCATAGGTTTTGTCCATAAGTCTTCTCTGTGGACTGTGCTTTCAATTATAATTTATCTCTAAAAGCTCTTACAGTGCTCCTCTGAGCTTCTTTGTGTGCTAAATAGAGGCCACACTTCTGTTCTCAGACTTTTTGGTGAGTAAATATATGTCAATTTTACATATAAGTCAATCAGTGAGTTATTGTCTTTCTTTAGATTCCTGAGGGGGGAAGCACAGGCTCCCAGTTCATTTTCTACCAACATGGAACTGTAGGAGCACACTGTCTCAATTGCTGCCATCAAAGCCCAAAATAATCACATGGGTCTTCAAAACTGGAAAGCAAAAGTGACAGAGACAGAAGGACATGTGCTAATGGAAGCAGAAGGTGAATGACCTGCTTTGAAGTAGAGGGAAAAAAACAAGTTCAGGAATTCAGGTGGCTTCTAGAAGATGGAAAAGACAAAAAAAAAAAGTCTCTGTAAAGCTCCAGCCTAGCTCACAACCTAACTTCTTTTTTCCAATGAAATGTATCAGACTTATGGCCTCCAGAGTGGTAAGAAAATACATTTGTGTTGTTTTAAGCCTCTAAGCTTCCAGTAGTGTGTTCTGCCATTAAAGGGAAACTAAGATAACCAACCACTGAATAGAAATAGCAGGAAAAAGGTTTCAATATCAGAAGCAGAGGTTTGAGAAAGGTTTGAGATTTGTACAGTCCCAGCATGGATAAGTTTTAGAATAATGGTCAGGTGGGGTGGAATTCCATCCCACTCATTTTGCTAAATTCACTTGTTTCTCTTAACTATGTTTGTTTCTACTGCAGCTTCTAGAAACTGAGAAGCATAGAATATCTCCTAGGCATATATTCTTGAGGGTGAAGAGCTTCTGAACATATAATTTAATATATTCAGTCATTTGAGAAGATTTGTACTTGGCCAAATGGTGACTTCCCTCTTGTTGATTTGCAAATGGAATGGTGGTCGTGGTGAGTATTTTCAGTGGAAGACAGTGTACAAAAAGGGGTAGCCACTTCTGGCCACAGATTGGCCTTTGCAAATGGGTCTGAGAGTCTGAGGGTGTAGCTCTTGATTACAGTAGCCACTGGGAACACAGTCATTTCACAGTAGGTCTTTAGAGAACTGTGCACGTTTGACCCTCAGCAGTGGGGCTCTCACAGCCTACCTAACTAACTCTATCCCTTCTGAGAATATTATGGATAATCCAGTTCTCTTCCCTTTCCCTCCCATTTTTATCTCCTGTGTGGTCATCTGCCTCCAGTAGACTTTCCATAATTCATAAACATTTAGAAGCAAAATCTGACCTGTTAAAAAACTTTTCAAATTC